CTGCTGGCTCCTCAGCCAGCCAGTTCTGCTGCTCCTCAGCCAGCCAGTTCTGCTGGCTCCTCAGCCAGCCAGTTCTGCTGCTCCTCAGCCAGCCAGTTCTGCTGCTCCTCAGCCAGCCAGTTCTGCTGCTCCTCAGCCAGCCAGTTCTGCTGCTCCTCAGCCAGCCAGTTCTGCTGCTCCTCAGCCAGCCAGTTCTGCTGCTCCTCAGCCAGCCAGTTCTGCTGCTCCTCAGCCAGCCAGTTCTGCTGCTCCTCAGCCAGCCAGTTCTGCTGCTCCTCAGCCAGCCAGTTCTGCTGCTCCTCAGCCAGCCAGTTCTGCTGCTCCTCAGCCAGCCAGTTCTGCTGCTCCTCAGCCAGCCAGTTCTGCTGCTCCTCAGCCAGCCAGTTCTGCTGCTCCTCAGCCAGCCAGTTCTGCTGCTCCTCAGCCAGCCAGTTCTGCTGCTCCTCAGCCAGCCAGTTCTGCTGCTCCTCAGCCAGCCAGTTCTGCTGCTCCTCAGCCAGCCAGTTCTGCTGCTCCTCAGCCAGCCAGTTCTGCTGCTCCTCAGCCAGCCAGTTCTGCTGCTCCTCAGCCAGCCAGTTCTGCTGCTCCTCAGCCAGCCAGTTCTGCTGCTCCTCAGCCAGCCAGTTCTGCTGCTCCTCAGCCAGCCAGTTCTGCTGCTCCTCAGCCAGCCAGTTCTGCTGCTCCTCAGCCAGCCAGTTCTGCTGCTCCTCAGCCAGCCAGTTCTGCTGCTCCTCAGCCAGCCAGTTCTGCTGCTCCTCAGCCAGCCAGTTCTGCTGCTCCTCAGCCAGCCAGTTCTGCTGCTCCTCAGCCAGCCAGTTCTGCTGCTCCTCAGCCAGCCAGTTCTGCTGCTCCTCAGCCAGCCAGTTCTGCTGCTCCTCAGCCAGCCAGTTCTGCTGCTCCTCAGCCAGCCAGTTCTGCTGCTCCTCAGCCAGCCAGTTCTGCTGCTCCTCAGCCAGCCAGTTCTGCTGCTCCTCAGCCAGCCAGTTCTGCTGCTCCTCAGCCAGCCAGTTCTGCTGCTCCTCAGCCAGCCAGTTCTGCTGCTCCTCAGCCAGCCAGTTCTGCTGCTCCTCAGCCAGCCAGTTCTGCTGCTCCTCAGCCAGCCAGTTCTGCTGCTCCTCAGCCAGCCAGTTCTGCTGCTCCTCAGCCAGCCAGTTCTGCTGCTCCTCAGCCAGCCAGTTCTGCTGCTCCTCAGCCAGCCAGTTCTGCTGCTCCTCAGCCAGCCAGTTCTGCTGCTCCTCAGCCAGCCAGTTCTGCTGCTCCTCAGCCAGCCAGTTCTGCTGCTCCTCAGCCAGCCAGTTCTGCTGCTCCTCAGCCAGCCAGTTCTGCTGCTCCTCAGCCAGCCAGTTCTGCTGCTCCTCAGCCAGCCAGTTCTGCTGCTCCTCAGCCAGCCAGTTCTGCTGCTCCTCAGCCAGCCAGTTCTGCTGCTCCTCAGCCAGCCAGTTCTGCTGCTCCTCAGCCAGCCAGTTCTGCTGCTCCTCAGCCAGCCAGTTCTGCTGCTCCTCAGCCAGCCAGTTCTGCTGCTCCTCAGCCAGCCAGTTCTGCTGCTCCTCAGCCAGCCAGTTCTGCTGCTCCTCAGGCCAGCCAGTTCTGCTGCTCCTCAGCCAGCCAGTTCTGCTGCTCCTCAGCCAGCCAGTTCTGCTGCTCCTCAGCCAGCCAGTTCTGCTGCTCCTCAGCCAGCCAGTTCTGCTGCTCCTCAGCCAGCCAGTTCTGCTGCTCCTCAGCCAGCCAGTTCTGCTGCTCCTCAGCCAGCCAGTTCTGCTGCTCCTCAGCCAGCCAGTTCTGCTGCTCCTCAGCCAGCCAGTTCTGCTGCTCCTCAGCCAGCCAGTTCTGCTGCTCCTCAGCCAGCCAGTTCTGCTGCTCCTCAGCCAGCCAGTTCTGCTGCTCCTCAGCCAGCCAGTTCTGCTGCTCCTCAGCCAGCCAGTTCTGCTGCTCCTCAGCCAGCCAGTTCTGCTGCTCCTCAGCCAGCCAGTTCTGCTGCTCCTCAGCCAGCCAGTTCTGCTGCTCCTCAGCCAGCCAGTTCTGCTGCTCCTCAGCCAGCCAGTTCTGCTGCTCCTCAGCCAGCCAGTTCTGCTGCTCCTCAGCCAGCCAGTTCTGCTGCTCCTCAGCCAGCCAGTTCTGCTGCTCCTCAGCCAGCCAGTTCTGCTGCTCCTCAGCCAGCCAGTTCTGCTGCTCCTCAGCCAGCCAGTTCTGCTGCTCCTCAGCCAGCCAGTTCTGCTGCTCCTCAGCCAGCCAGTTCTGCTGCTCCTCAGCCAGCCAGTTCTGCTGCTCCTCAGCCAGCCAGTTCTGCTGCTCCTCAGCCAGCCAGTTCTGCTGCTCCTCAGCCAGCCAGTTCTGCTGCTCCTCAGCCAGCCAGTTCTGCTGCTCCTCAGCCAGCCAGTTCTGCTGCTCCTCAGCCAGCCAGTTCTGCTGCTCCTCAGCCAGCCAGTTCTGCTGCTCCTCAGCCAGCCAGTTCTGCTGCTCCTCAGCCAGCCAGTTCTGCTGCTCCTCAGCCAGCCAGTTCTGCTGCTCCTCAGCCAGCCAGTTCTGCTGCTCCTCAGCCAGCCAGTTCTGCTGCTCCTCAGCCAGCCAGTTCTGCTGCTCCTCAGCCAGCAGTTCTGCTGCTCCTCAGCCAGCCAGTTCTGCTGCTCCTCAGCCAGCCAGTTCTGCTGCTCCTCAGCCAGCCAGTTCTTCTGCTCCTCAGCCACCAGTTCTGCTGCTCCTCAGCCAGCCAGTTCTGCTGCTCCTCAGGCCAGCCAGTTCTGCTGCTCCTCAGCCAGCCAGTTCTGCTGCTCCTCAGCCAGCCAGTTCTGCTGCTCCTCAGCCAGCCAGTTCTGCTGCTCCTCAGCCAGCCAGTTCTGCTGCTCCTCAGCCAGCCAGTTCTGCTGCTCCTCAGCCAGCCAGTTCTGCTGCTCCTCAGCCAGCCAGTTCTGCTGCTCCTCAGCCAGCCAGTTCTGCTGCTCCTCAGCCAGCCAGTTCTGCTGCTCCTCAGCCAGCCAGTTCTGCTGCTCCTCAGCCAGCCAGTTCTGCTGCTCCTCAGCCAGCCAGTTCTGCTGCTCCTCAGCCAGCCAGTTCTGCTGCTCCTCAGCCAGCCAGTTCTGCTGCTCCTCAGCCAGCCAGTTCTGCTGCTCCTCAGCCAGCCAGTTCTGCTGCTCCTCAGCCAGCCAGTTCTGCTGCTCCTCAGCCAGCCAGTTCTGCTGCTCCTCAGCCAGCCAGTTCTGCTGCTCCTCAGCCAGCCAGTTCTGCTGCTCCTCAGCCAGCCAGTTCTGCTGCTCCTCAGCCAGCCAGTTCTGCTGCTCCTCAGCCAGCCAGTTCTGCTGCTCCTCAGGCCAGCCAGTTCTGCTGCTCCTCAGCCAGCCAGTTCTGCTGCTCCTCAGCCAGCCAGTTCTGCTGCTCCTCAGCCAGCCAGTTCTGCTGCTCCTCAGCCAGCCAGTTCTGCTGCTCCTCAGCCAGCCAGTTCTGCTGCTCCTCAGCCAGCCAGTTCTGCTGCTCCTCAGCCAGCCAGTTCTGCTGCTCCTCAGCCAGCCAGTTCTGCTGCTCCTCAGCCAGCCAGTTCTGCTGCTCCTCAGCCAGCCAGTTCTGCTGCTCCTCAGCCAGCCAGTTCTGCTGCTCCTCAGCCAGCCAGTTCTGCTGCTCCTCAGCCAGCCAGTTCTGCTGCTCCTCAGCCAGCCAGTTCTGCTGCTCCTCAGCCAGCCAGTTCTGCTGCTCCTCAGCCAGCCAGTTCTGCTGCTCCTCAGCCAGCCAGTTCTGCTGCTCCTCAGCCAGCCAGTTCTGCTGCTCCTCAGCCAGCCAGTTCTGCTGCTCCTCAGCCAGCCAGTTCTGCTGCTCCTCAGCCAGCCAGTTCTGCTGCTCCTCAGCCAGCCAGTTCTGCTGCTCCTCAGCCAGCCAGTTCTGCTGCTCCTCAGCCAGCCAGTTCTGCTGCTCCTCAGCCAGCCAGTTCTGCTGCTCCTCAGCCAGCCAGTTCTGCTGCTCCTCAGCCAGCCAGTTCTGCTGCTCCTCAGCCAGCCAGTTCTGCTGCTCCTCAGCCAGCCAGTTCTGCTGCTCCTCAGCCAGCCAGTTCTGCTGCTCCTCAGCCAGCCAGTTCTGCTGCTCCTCTTCGACTCGGCCAAGTGATCTTTCTGGTGAAGCAGATTTCGGGCAAAGAACCGGTCTACAAAGCACGGTGCTGCACCAAGGTTCTTACTCAGACTTGCAGTGTGAATTGCTGGGATAACTTTTACTTCACTGCCAAGTTCTCCAACCTCCACCACAATGCATTTGACACTAAGTACGTGTTTTCGTGGGCGTCCATTTAAGTTTGTCCTAAGTTTGACACTAAAACTTATGACTTCTCATAAACAGTCACGGGTGTTCCATGAGGGGCCGTTTCCTTTTTGGGCCCCTCAGATTTTCTCACGCTGGTCATGCAAAAGGGGGTGCAAAGATCAGGGCTCGCGCGCGGGGCCCTAATCTCACGTGTGTCACCCAGGGCACGCGCGTGTGGTTCGCACTGTTGCGAGCATGAACAGTTTGCACGATCGCAACAAAACAGGGCGATAATGATTTCCCTGCCCACGTCAAGACAGCGCCAACTCGGGGGTGCTCGTGAGTTCGTGGGTTCGAGGGATCCCGGGTGCTCGGGATCTGCTCTGTCAAATAACAGTCTTTCATGACGTGCCACGAGGACATTTTGCCCAAAAAGCAGCACGCCTGGCGGAAGAGTATTCTTTACAAGTACAAGGCGAAGACAGTTATTCCCAAGAAAGCAAATCACGCCGTTAGAAACAAAAGTTGGAGACTTGTTGTACGGCAAAGTTCCCAAATGCAGTTAAACAAGTCTGGTGTTTGCTTGATTTGTGTGTCAGTCTTTCTGGAAACTTTGGGATTGTATCACCAATCTTATTAGAGTGAAGTTTTTCTCTGTCAATCTTCTTCATTGACATAAGACAGAATTCTGCACACGAGCCAATCCGGCGTCAACGTTGCCCAAATGAGCGTGATACTACTCTAGTGCAATCGATTGAAGTTACACTCGGTAGTTCTCTCTACAAACACGGCCCCTTGGTGAGGGGCTGGATATACCAGGCACCCGAAGACTCCTGGAGGTGACCCCATAGAGACTACATCATGTGAATTTATCATTGTGCATAGAGACTTTTAGATTTCGTAGTACTCAATAACCACTACGGTCCCTAAGTTGATCCTTCCAACCACAATCATGGACTAGTGATGGTTAGCCTTCCTTTACCACCATTGTGACCCCAACCACCTCCTTCATTTCTATCCATCTCTTAAATCTTATGAATGTCTCTAATTCATCAATAGTATATTATATCCTTTGTATCAATGAAAACTTTGGGAAGGAGCAGAGAAATCAACTTTCTAAACGACAAAGCAGCACACATTGAGTCAATCTTGCCGTGGTGTGAGTTACTCACAGATCCGCAACCCCCCAGATACCCACTCACACGTATGTTGTCGCTGCCCTTGCCACACGGCACACCAAGCAGCCTCGCCAGTGACTTCACGAGCGGCGCGCAGAGAGGACTGCTGCTGCCTGCCTTCGCGGGCGTCTTGCCTTTCTTGGGCGGCCACTGGCTCTCCAACCCAAGTCCACCTCCCTTGCGTGCCAGCTTGAGCAGCAGCTGGAAGGCCTGAGAGGGCGTGCTGCCAGAGCAGCCGACCTTCATGGCGGCCTTCAGCTGCTCCACTGATAGCGGCTGCACGGCTGAGGTGTTGGCCAGAATGCTGTATGCTGCCTCGATGCTGCCCACCACTGCGTACGCCCAGCAGTCGCCTGCGAGGCAATGCATGCATGGGTGGTGGGTTGCATAAGTTGCATTGCGGAAACACATGGGAGGTTGCACATAAGTTAGCTTGGTGGTTGCTGCTGTCACCGAATATGCACGGTTGTGCATATAAGGTGCCAGTTATGTTGCGGTGTAGTGTGGGGTGTAGCATTACCGAATATGAACATTTGGGGTGTAGGTAGTTGGGGACCAGGGAGAGTGCCGCGAAGTTGGTAGGAGAGCTCCGAGGGGTGAAATCCAAGGAACCAATGTGAACGAACCAACCCAGGCTCGAGGCGCACATTGAGAAATGCACGCTTTGAGCCAGGGACAGGTAAATTCACTAACACACACTCACTCGTTTCTTTTCTCTTGTTATCCTTTCGTATAGTGGATCGTTGTTACCTTCATCCTTCGGCTAGGTGACACACCACTCAGGGAGGACCCTTGGGGTGGGAGCTTTGTCTCTTTCATAACAAGAGAAAAGCGTGCGCGCGTGCAAGGATGGACGGGTATGAGCTGCGTTATGGCAGGACGTATGGTCGTCGCGAGGAGGATCGCGCGTGGCGCGGACACTCGCGTGAGCGTGGGCGATCGTTGGAGAGATCGCCGCGGAGGCCTGCCTTTCGCGCGGACCAGGTGCCTCTCGCGCCCGAGCGCCGAGAGGGCGGATCCGCACGAGCAGGAGCGGGCAGATCGGGATCGGCCCTGGTGGGAAGTGATCCGTGGCGGACGGAACCGCGCCACGGAGCAGGTGGCGATCTTGGGTATCGTCAGGAGACGGGAGCGTATCGCTCGCCGGAGGCAAGCTATCGCCGTCGCGAGGATCGGAGTCGCGGGCGAGGCTTGGAGGAGTTGTTTTCGGGCCGAGAGGGAGACCTCAACGCCGACGGAGATGGAGTGGAAGAGAGCACGGACACGTCGCAGGGATCCGAGCGTGACGACGTGGCTGAGGTTGACGGCGAAGCCCAGGAGGAGGGCGCAAGCGAGCAGCGCGACATGCCCGCGGAGGTAACGGAGGCAAACCCTGCCAAGGCAGGCGAGGCGGAAGAGACAGGCGGAACTAGCGGCGTACGAAGCGCGCGTAAGGAAGCGCCCGTTTCTGGACAACAGGCGCACGGCGGGGAGCAGGGCAGCGGCGCGTCGCGCGCGCCAGATCTGCGCCCGCATCATGACGAAAGGCGGGGAGGCGGGTCGCGTTCGCCTGAGCCACGTCAGCATCGTGACGGGAGACGGGGAAGTGGATCGCGTTCGCCGGATCCTTGGAAGTATCACAGCGGGAGACGGGAGGGCGAATCGCGTTCGCCGGATCCGTGGAGGAATCGCAGCGGGAGGCGGGGAGGCGAGTCACGCTCGCCGGATTCGTGGAGGAATCGCAGCGGGAGGCGGGGAGGCGAGTCACGCTCGCCGGATCCGTGGAGGAATCGCAGCGGGAGAAGGGGAGGCGAGTCACGCTCGCCGGATCCGCGTCAGCAGCATCACGGAGCGCGGGGAAGCGGGTCACGCTCGCCGGATCGGCGCCAGCACCATGAGGGAAGGCGTGGAGGCGAGTCGCGTTCGCCAGATTCGTATCGCCAGAATGACGGGAGGCGGGGAAGTGGGCCACGCTCGCCGGATCTGCGCAAACATCAGGAGAGGAAGTGGGGAGGCGAGTCAAGTTCGCCAGATCGGCACCAAGAACGGGGTATGAGCAGGGGAAGCGAGCATCGCTCGCTGGATCAGCGTCCGCGGCGTGAAGAGAGATATGGAGGCGGGCACCGCTAGCCAGAACGTGATCAGCAGCGAGGACAGAGAGGGAGATGGGAGGAGGAGTGGCGTCACCGAGACAATCGTTATGGGCAGGAGGGAAGGAGAGCTCCGCGATCCCCGACACCTGAGAAGCGCTGGCAGCACCAAGGGCGAGGGGAAGATTGGGCGCGGGCGAGTTACTCACCAGATCGGCGAGGGAGGAAGGGTGAGGAGGAAAGGCGATGGGAAGCAAAGCAGGAGCAGCACAGAAGCAAAGGTGTAGGCAGCGGTCTGGCATATAGCATGGAGCGCGCCAGAGAAGCAAGGAAGGGGATCGAGCGGGCTAGAGGAGGAGGGACGTCAGGAAGGCAGGAAAGGGGAGCAAGTGAGTCATGGGGCGAGGGGCGTGGAAGTGCAGCGATGGCCACACGTGTGGAAGTGCCGGCGCGGTTCTCAGGAGACCAGCGCGTGGGGCCTACACTGAAGAACTACTTGATGCAAGTGGGGAATGTGAGATATAGATGTGAGCGGAGCGGCATGGATGCGGTGGATTTCTTCCTAAGTCTGCCAAATACATTGGAAGGGGAGGCAGAGACGCTGTACAGAATGAGGATGGATGAATTGCTTGAGAGGGCGGGCAGGTACGGGGAAGACCCCACAGAGGCATTTCTGAAGCGGCTGCAGCGGCAGTTTCCCGGGCATACTGCAGAGAAGATAAGGGAATTTCAGGAGTTCCGGAGAGGGAAGAGTGAGTCGTTGCTCACCTATTACAACCGGCTGATCAACTTGGCGGAGGATGTGACGTGTGGGGACATGGGCCTCTTGGTGAGCAAGTTCTTGGATGGGCTGGACAACACCATGGGAAACGGGCTGCGCATGAAGGTGTATGAGCTGGGGGCAGACACAACGCTGGATGAGGTATTCGAATTAGCAGAGAAGATGGAGCTAGCACAAAGAAAATATGAGGCATATCGGCCCAGGACCATGGAGCGAAGCCGTGGGCCGACTTGGGCAGCAGCGATCATACCTGAAGAAAGGGAGAAGGCAGTGGGTCGAGGAGAGAACAGGCCAGAGACACGGACATGCCACAGATGCGGACAGCCGGGACACATACGCAAGGACTGCAAAAACTGTGACAGTTGCGGGAAACCAGGGCATCGGCGACGGGAATGCCCTGAAGCACCGAAGTGTGAAATCTGTGGAAGAGGAGGACATGCGGCAAAAGACTGCTACCAGCGAGAGGGAGCAGCAAAGAAGAAGCTGGAGGAACAGGAGAAGCAGATCAGCCGGCTGCAAGCGCAGCTGCAGGCACTGGGACCGCGACGCGAAGCAGAGGCAGGGATGTATGCCAGGGATGAGGAGGAAGAAGATGTAGCACAGGAAGAGCAAGGAGCACTCATGGCGTGGGGAGTGAGGGAGGAGGATGAGGTAGAACATGAGGAGCAACCTGCATACATGGCATGGAGAGGGAGAGAAGAGATGGGGCTGCGCAGCGGAGGCAAGGATGGGCGAAGGGAACAGGTGAGGAAAGAGCGGGAAAGGGGGCAGAAGCCAGAAGAGAAGGAAGAGAGATGCACAGCTGCACGTCACCCGCAGGAGCGGCTGGCATGTCAAACATCGGTGCTGCTGATCCAGAATGGAGCGCTGACGGTGGAAGGGGAGAAGGCAAAGACAGCTATCATAGACACCGGAGCACAGAGTGTCATACTAGGGAAGGGGATGGCCGAGAAGCTGGGACTGTGGGCACCGGACAGACATGTGATGAAGGGGATGCTAGTGATGACGGCAGAGGGAGGAGAGTCAAAATGGATGCCCTGCACGAGGACTCCGATAGAACTAACGGTGCTGAAAGGGGAGAAACATGAGACGCCAGTCAGAATCAGATGCGGGATTTCAGAGTCGGAAGATTTTGATGTGCTGGTGGGCACGGAGATGATTTTTGCATTGGGCATGACCATCTGCTTTTGGAAAGAGACAGTGGAGTTCCGAACTAGGTGGTGGAGGAAGGGTGAACCGCTAGGGCAGCTGTCGCGCTATTAACACATAGCCTGCGGCTAAGTGTGAATTGCACAGCAGCTTAAGGTGAGGTTGTACTATATTGCTGTTTGGTTCTTGTACTCATACTTTCGTTTGTGTGCTTGGAATGTACTGTACATATATGGAGCCGAGCAGGGTGGAGAAGCTCGAGGAATTTGGTGGGGACAGGGTGGAATTCGATTCCAGGCTGGGAATTCGATTCCAGGCTGGGAATCCGGTTCCAGGCTGGGAATTCGATTCAGAGAATGCAATTCCAGCTGGAAGTCGGTGCATGCCTAGTGGGCCACTGGGACCCAGCTAGCACCTAGAAGCTATCGCGAGCAGCACTGCTGCTATGCGACTTGGCAACTAGAGTTAGCTTGTGGGACAAGCAACCTAGGCAGAAGGATGGCTGGGACTTAGGCAGGGGAGGATACCTGCTCCGTGCTTTTTGCTTGTTTGTTTCTCGTAATACTGCAATTCGTTTCCCAACCAAGGAGGCAAGCAGCTAGGAGAAGCTAACAGCAAACTGACGGAGCCCTTGCGAGGGAGGATTTAGACTTGTTGCAAACAAGCAAAAAGGTAGCGGTAGAGAAGCGTACAGGCGCAGAGGCCCGGTGTTAGCCACGGCGTCAGGGCCGTGAGGCATGAGCGATACGGATCCAGATCTACACATCCATCAGTTGCGGTCGGGACAGAGGTATCCCGCTAGGACTATGGAAGGTCGGGAAGAGCCGCCTGTGAAGCCTGGATTCCGTGCAGATGGAGGAGTTAATGAAACGCAGGGAGGAAAGGGCCCTGATCTGCCGAAGGAGGGTGGGAATCGTCAGGAGAAATTGCCCAGCTCGGTGCACAACTCGCCAGGACGACAGAGCGAGGCGAGATCTGGGAAGCAGAGCAGAACTTCAGAGAGGAGAATTTCCGTGGTCTATCCGGAGGGAGCAGTACCACCAGGGGGGCCGAGCAAGGGGGTTGGCCTGCAGGAAGCAGAGAGAGGGAAGCCGCAAGCTGGGGGACAGGGAGGTCTATGAACACGGCGCCCCCGAAGATCGAGATACCAGACCGCTTCTCAGGGGCACCAGGTGAAGAGCCAACACTGAAGAACTACCTTATGATGATTGATGATATACGGTACACCTGGGAGAGAGAGGGGTTAGATCCGATAGAATTTTTCAGAGGATTGGGAAGGACACTGAAAGGGGAGGCACTGACACACTACAGAGTGGAGCGTCAGGGGCTGCTGATGCAGTGCAAGAATGGGGAC